CAGACAATGCTTATATACTCTTGAGAGAAAAATATCTCCCTTCACTGTGAAATTTACGCTCTGTACCTTTGCAGACATGGAACAACTACAGAAAACAAACAACCAAGAAACATGCATCACACTAAGTTTTGGTGAAAAAAACAAAATAAAAAACTTAGTATCTACTATAGGGGTGAAGAAGTTGCTGCAAATAGGTAAACACTGTCACTGTGCCTTGTAAACACAAAGTCTAATTTAGATTAATGAGACATTTTCAAAAACATCCCTGATATTTCAAACTAATGTTCTGTAATGACAAAAAGTCAAAAGGAGAAAGTTAATTCAACTGAACCAAATCATAAAGTATGCGTATATAGTACAAACTCAGACTTTTCGACTTTAATTTAGCCCCAGTGAGTACAGTAACTTTTCTGTAACTCTTAATGCTCTCTATTCCTTAAGCATTGCAGAAGAATCTAATTCATCTGCGTCTTTAAAAAACAAAAGAGTTTGACTGTACTACAAGTATAGGAGGAACTCAATACATGCAGAAAGCAAATAAATGATGATGCAGGAGAAGGGCCATGTTTCTCAATCAGTGCAATGTCTGTTACCTCAATGGAGATAAATATTGCAAAGGGTGGAAAGAAATTGGGGCTGTCTAAAAATGCATCTTTAGAATGAGGAGAGAGGAAACCTCATCTGTCTGGACTCCTCCTTCGTCCCACAGTTACATTTGTACTGCTGCCTCGCTCTGGCCAACTCGATTGTCAGTTTCATCCCAAACGTACACCAGTTAAATTAAGTGGCAAATAATGCAAATGAGATTGTGAAATAAAATATAATAAAAAGAGACCTTAATGGTAATGAAGCTTTTTCCTGGTTACATTATTCTGGAATTATTCTAACTAACAAAACAACTTTCATGATTGGAGATCTTTAAAGAAATTACCTGTATTGTTGCACATTTATCTTTTTAATTTATTATTTATATTTTTTGACATATTTGCCTAATTCTGTCTGTCATTTCTGCAGTTTTTAAAATATAAATATGTAGAGATTTTCTGACAAATTGAAAGGTGACTGCGACTGGATGATTCTGAGATTAGCCAGTCTTAACAGTTTGTACTGCCAACAACACCCTTCAGTGTAGATGCAGGAACTGTAGGGATAAATCTGGAAGTGAGCTAACATTTGGGCTTGGAACCACATAAGGTCAGTTTTTTTTAACCTTAATTTTTGGGATGTAACTAAAGAAATTTGAAAAATGTCACAGAAGAAAAGAAAAATCTAATGTTCTGTATTAAAACTCTGGGGTAGATGTTATGAATATTTAGGTATTTCAATAAATGCTCTACAAAGAAAAAAAAAAGAAATGACCAACTTCTGTCTAAAAATATGAATCTCCCTGTTCCTGTATTTTGCTTTAAATCGTCAACAATCAGCATAATGTAGATATGCAGCTGCAGGACGGTGAGAGGGTTAGTTAATCAGACGATCTGCTCTGCTCGACACAGAGCATCCTAGCTACATGTCACATAACACGTACTTGTGTGTGTGTGTGTGTGTGTGTGTGTGTGTGTGTGTGTGTGTGTGTGTGTGTGTGTGTGTGTGTGTGTGTGTGTGGGTGTGGGCTTGGGCACCCTTCAAACTGTGGACGGATAGGTGTGTGTGTGTGTGTGTGTGTGTGTGTGTGCGTGTGTTTGTGCATTGGCTAGTATTCTGCAATTCGAGCTGTGAGACAGAGTCCCAGACTGCTGATGGGAGATTAGAGGTGAGACGTCTAATCTCAGTGTAATCAGGCGCTGCATCTGAGCCTTCGCTCCACACCAACAGGTCCAAACAGAAACTCATCTCACAGAAAACATGGCCCTGATGAGGTAGAAGATGGTTATGGGGAGTATCTGGTGTCCACCATCAAAGTCAGAGGAAAAAAAAAAAAAAGACCGGCAGGTAAAATTAAATTATTTTTGCTCTCATGTCTTCTAGGCTCAGGCTGCTTTGACAGAAACGAGTCCATATAACAGAGCATGTGGTAAAACTGCCAAGGACATGCTCAGGAAAACCACAGCTGACTTCTTGGTGAGAATTAAAGCCCGGTGGTTGAAAAAAAAAAAGAAAGAAAAAAAAAGCATTGAATATGCTCTTTTTCCTTTACAAGGAGGGAAAAATAAAATACAGCCAGAAAAATAAGGAGAAAATTTCAAGTAATACCAAGACAACTAATATAAAAAAGCTACGCAAAAAGTGGACATTACAGCCACTGGAGCAAAAATAAGTATCTGTTTTCATCTAGGACACTTCACCTTCTGATGGGTCAATGATTAGTGAATTTGGGTAGATGGAGGAGAGGGAAGGAAAGGAGAAGAGGCTGCCAGTGAACAGCTGCCCCTGTAATTTATATTGATGAGAGGACTGGCATGGCAGGGAGCTTCCAGCAGTTTGATCACTCAGGCAGAGTGGAGAGTCAGCGAGACACGACCCATCCCTGTGGTTTAGGTTGGACTGGAGAGACCTCTTAAAAACACACACACACATCCGTAGATACCCATACTTTCATATAGTGGCTTGCGAGAGAGTTCATACTCTGTGAACATTTTCACATTTTTTCATGTCACACACTCAAAGTTTGATCTATTTTAATGGGATTTTAGACCAACATGGAGTAGCACATAACTGCAGTGAAATGAACTCTGTTTAATTTTTAAAACTTTTTTGCAAATAAAAATCTGAAAACTATGGCATGTCTTTGTGTTCAGATTAGTCTACTTTGATGCCCCAAAATAAATACAAGAGCAAACGATTGCCTTCAGGAGGAGCAACGTGCAACTGGAAATCTACTGCAACAAGGCGATCAGTCTGGAGTGGACAGCTGAGAAAGACAAACATTAATTAAAAGGGTAGCCAAGGGACCCTTGGTAACTTCTGAGGACTTTTAATCATCAAGACACTCATGGAAAACAATATTGAGAGTACAACTTCAAAACATGCACTTCATAAATTTAATCTTTCTAGAAGAGTACAAAGAACAAAGCTGTGAGAAGTCTGGTTCACATTGTACTGTGAGGTGCAAGGTTTTATTCAAATAAGAACAGGAAGTAGATAGAAGTCATTATCTTTAGCAAGGACATACAAGCTGGTAATATATATTGGGAAGTTTGATTGAAGGTAAATACAGACTATTGTCCATTGTGACAAAAGTCCAAGACATACATGCACACGTCACTTAGTAACCACTTCCAATTCATAGCTACGGTTTGTCTGTCACCTAAAACCCCAACAATGTAAATTATCGTTTCAGGATGCAATTGTGAAAAAATAAATAAATAAAAATAAAATAAATAAGTTAAGGGGAATTAATCCTTTTCCAAGATGCTGCAGATACACAAGCAAACAAGACAGCCAAGCTCACATTTCAAGTGTCAGCATCATCCAGTAAATCAAGTAACCCAATGTTTTCCCTCCAAGAACAGAAATAGTTCCACTAACTGGCTATAACTGTGCAGGGAAGAGACATCTCCCTCATTATTACTCCACCAGCCATATAATCACCAGGCTCTTCCTTTACAACCTCAATGACCATTAACTGGCCCTTGAACTTCTTCTGAGCACACAGCCCTGACAAGGCGCTACAGCCGCTTCCTGTCTGTGAGGCAGAGCAATCAACTACTTGTTAAGGGGATTTACTTTGATTTCCTCACACAGTTAAGATTTGAATATTTCTAACTGAAATGAGACGATAAAGTCCAGTTTCTGCCGAGGGCTTTTAAACTCAACACTCCTAAATCATGCTCTTTGATTTGAGTCCCTCTTTTTTCCCCATCGGCGTAGAGGTGCTTAGAGTAGAACTAATTAAGTTGGTGGGACGAGGGAACTGTGGGTTAAAATGTGTGTTCCTCTCGACATTAAAGATATTCTGGCCCAAACACACATTCACACATAAAAAAAAAAAAATTATGGTAGAGCCTCCGGACAAGCAAATAGCTTAACACATGATCATCCTGTTATTTTGACGGCGCTGTCTGAGCAAGGTAGAGCTGTCGAGCTTGAAGACCATATCCTTTGCCCCACTGTCTGATGTAACACAGAGCTGGGGTGTTTTACGCTCACAGTCTAAAACACTCCGACCGCTCTTACAAAAAGCCCCTCTGGCTTCCCCCTCTCCACAAGTTTCATCAGAGTGATCAGAGCAAAAGAATAGCCTTCAGGGCTGGTTTCTTCCATTCACACAGAGGGATACGAACGCACACATAAGCCTTTTAGCTGCATACACAGACACACTACAGAACAGCTCCCACTCCCTCCAAAAAAGTATTTCTACATGCGTTTTCAATTGCACTTCACACATGTCAAAATACAGTGCAAATCTCCAGGAGATTATTGATTCCTGCAGGTTTGGCTGCTCATCAATGCTTAACGTGCAGAGCAAAATTGAAACGCTGAGCTCCACAGTACTACTGTAGAGCTCACAGAAGCCTTGCATGTTAGATTAGAGACACGTGTCAACGCCTGTCCCGATATCTTTCAATTTTTGCCGATATGATCTGTATTGAAGAACACAGAATTCTGGTAGTTAGTGCAGCCTCAGAGGTTTCAAACCACCACACAACACCACATCCTTGTTGTTCAGCTGCAAGGCCTTGCAGAAAACAAAGAGATGCTTCACCACACTGTCTGCTTCAAATGTGCATGATTGTCTAGCAAGTCACAAGACTGCACAGCATTTTAATTTCCTCTCAGGGGTTATCATATTCTGTACAGTACGGAGCAGGAGAAATACAAAGGGGTGAGAGTGGATTGAATGTAAGCAAGGAATTGTTCTGTGTCAGGGAAAAAATGACAAGATGAGGAGCTGTGAAACAAATGTGACTTTATCACCTGTCTATATGAGAAACAAACATTTTTCCCATTTAATGAGTTTCGTATAACGCTATGTCCCTAACAACTCAGAACTTTACTTCAAAATTCTGAGTTGTTAGGAATAACAACTCTAACTTGGAAATGATTGGAATCGTACTTACAAGTGTGTGTCTTCTTTGTTACTGAGATTCCTGGAAAGATAAAACAACAATACATTAAAACCGACAGCCATCAATAGAAAAGGCACTACAATGTGATTTTAAATGACAGAGTTATTTTTAAAATTTTTGTATCATTACAACCAGAAATTTAAATTGTATTTCATTTGCATTTTATGTGCATGAGCAACACAAAGTGGAAAAAAATTGTTTGAAAAAGGAAAAAGACATGCTTGTCAAAATGTCCCTTTGACAAGTAAAATAACCTTTTTTTAAAACAAGGGTGCAGAAGGTGAACTTTTACACCAGTCTCTAGACACTTCTGTGTCAGTAATTATCCAATGATTTCTCTGTATCATCTCCCCATCAAGTCCTATCAACTTCCTTGTTCCTTCTAAAAATCCAGCATGATCCTGCTACTACCATGTTTCACATTGAGGGTGACTCACTGAGGAATAAGTGCTGAGTTTGTGTTCTGCAAGCAGAGCAAAATGTTTTATGACCAAAACCCCCTTCAACCACATGTTGACTGCGTGACTGTTTGACATTTGCAGCAAGCTTCTTGTCGCTTCTCTTCTATAAAGGCCTGATTTGCAGAGTGCCTGACAAATGCCTAGTGCCTTGTCCTGTTGCCAGATTATTCCACCCGAGCTGCACTTCTCTACAGCTCCTCCACAGTTACCTCAGATGTCTTTGCTGCTTCTGTTGTTAATTATACAATTTTACCCATGATTTGTTTTTTGTGTTTCCTGGTTTCATGACAATATTCTCTTATAAAAAATAAATAAATAAATAAATAAAACCCAGCTGGAATTATATAAAGCATTTTATACATAGAAAGGAGTTTGATTAATAATTGGGTGACATCTGAAAGCAATGGTGGCACTGTATTTTATTTAAATATATGGAACATGGTCCAGATTTACATTTTTTTCAAAAAAATATCTAACACAATATTTTCCTTCTGCATTACAATTAGCCAGTGCATTTTATTGGTCCATCACATAGCCCAAATAAATGCATTTTAGTTCTCTGTTGTAACCTGACCAAATAGAAAAATCTTCAAGTGGTACAAATATTGCATGATGCATGTATGTCGGCTGGTTTCTCTCTTTTTGCTACATCAAAAAATTTCAGAAGATGGTTACGCCTCCATGTTCTGCAGGCAGAAAAGGAAATTTAAATATAAATAATAAACAACATTTGGAATACTAATGCGGTGAGTACAGATTGGGTCTAAACAAATGAGTAATCCTGAGGCCCTAAAGGAATGTAGGCACTTTGACCTCTGTGTCAGTAAATCCTCCAATATAAGCAGGTGACATAGGACATAAAAATGACCTGTTTTTCTTAAAGCCAGGTAACTTGAAAGTAAGTATCTGTCATTCTTCCGCCATGTAAAATGCAGAAAAATAAAATATAAATATATATTTACAATGTCTTTGGGAGTCAACCCATTGAGCAGCTACTTTGGATTTCACTGTGGCTCCTCCTGTCTGAAACATCGGTCTAACGCCCCAGGAGCCTGGCACAGACAAACGCAGAGCCAGCCGAGGTCCCCTGCGGCTTCGTTGCACGCTCATGCTACGCAGGACAGAGAGCACACTAATAGATCCCACTTGTCATGCGGAAGCAATGGCTAATTTTTCTACAGCTTGCGTTTGAAACTCGGGGGACGGGAAGTTGACATGATTCAATAACTCGCAGAAAAAGAAGGAGGAAAAAAAAACTGCCTGGCCGGGGATAACAACACTTCAAACATGTTGGAGAAGGGAACGAGTCAAAGAGCAACGAGGGGGAAAACAAATAAGCCCTTCAGTCTTTTATAGACATACACAAACCTACAAATGATATCAACTCCACTGAGCAGAAAGAAGGGGTTGGGGGTAATGGTGGGGGTGGGCATTCACCTAGGGGCTGGCAGTCTGTGATGTAGCTCCAGCATTGTTCTTGTGCTCAGGGCAAACAGCTACAGCTTGGTTTAACTGTGGCTTTACGCAAGAAAAAAGTAAACTTAAATTCTGCCTTATAACAACACTTTAGTCAAATAACATGGCAGTCAGTTTAATCTGATGTTGAATTAAAAACAAGCAGCATTGAGGTGCAGTACAATAAGACAAGGGGGGGAGGGAGGAGGGGAGGGACAATCTGTAACGGTTTCTGTTTCAAGGTAAAAATATTTTTTTAGACCACAGCTGGTGTGCTCAGTGGAAACTGAGTTACACAGAAATAGGCTAACTTTTCCTGGTTTTTTGTCAGACCTCTTGCAAACTCAAGAAAAAACAACATTCTTAGTTTTAAAAAGAAGCATCTTTTTCAAATGTAAATAATGTGCGAAAGCTGCAAAACAGTGTCACACGCTCTTTCATTGTCTAATGAGAGATCTTACAGCTGCTGACATATCTTTGTTTCGTCAAATGTTTTTATCGTAGAGGAAATCAACAGTTGTGTGAGGGTGTGTACAGTGCAAATGTTCTTGCCCATCATTAGCCTCACAGACCACGCTCTCACATACTGCTACCTGTCAGATGGTGACTCATTCTTCAGTTATATGCTTGGATTTCACTACAGTGAAAGATGCAGGGTTGTCTGTGTAAATAAACTCATGTCCACAAAGGTATTCAATGTGGCTTATTTGCAACAGCAGACACTAGTATGCATGGAAACAAAAGGCTCTATATCCTATATATTTAGCAGAAAAGATTATACAAAATATGATGAAAAAGATGCAAATATGAACAAATGCATAAAAGTAGTAAACACAGCAGTGCACTTAATAACACTGTTCTTATTCATCTCCTTAAAACCTGCTACAAGAGTTAAAACTGTCAAAATACTGCACTTTTAAAAGTGAGCTCCTTCTTAGACACTAAATTACTAATACCAACATTGTTAATTTTCTTCCATTATAGAGGAGTCTAATTGAAAATGTACACATATTGCAGGTTAATTTTGATATTTAAATATTAATTAAACTAAGCAGTCCTCTAAATAACAACTTATGTACCAGCAAATAAAATATATCATGACTGACTGGAAAGTATACGTTGTTACTCCTTTTGATCTCAGGATTATTTATTGCTGTTGGCTCCAAATGGCCAAAAACTGGAAAACTGGGAAAAATAGTTTTGCATTGATTAGAAGAAGTTTTCCTGGAAAATGATAGAGCTGATTTAACTGAGTGCTTTAAAATCATAACAATATGTTTTTTTATGCTGTTTCCATTTCATTTACTAACTTTTAGAAATCCAGTGGTAAATTTTGGGTCAAATAGTATTAATGAGGCTGTCTTTACTTTCACTTTGTGTTTTAATTGTGTAACTTTGTCCATTGTGGTTTAATGACATGTAATAAGCATTACCTCATATTTCTTATAGATTTAGTGGTATAGTGTTGTTTATTCAGAAAGACATGCAGCAAAGGTCCTGAGGTCTGTGTCAAGCTGTAGAGATTTTAAACACTTTCCTTTATATTAAAAAACGTTTTTGTACACTGCTTTCAACCAGTTTTTGATGAAAACAAACAAAAAAAAAAACATTTTAAGAATCTGTGTTCAAGTTAGAAAATAAATAAAAATATTTATCAGCTACTCACTTTGCAAATACCATGATAGATTTTTGCGCTACAAACCATATCAGTACTATTGCTGTTCTCATGGTTTGACTCTAGTTTTCTTAAACCTTTGAATAGCAATTAAAGACATTAAGGATATCAGTGTGTCAAAGAAAATATTGTTTTAGGAGAATTTCTAGCCTAGTATGGCTTTAGTCATGCCCATCATCTTTTAGACTATTTCAATTCAAATTCAAGTCCAAAACTACTATATTGATCCCAAAGGTAACTTAACTGTCGTCGTAGCTCTTTTGATTAAAGATTTATAGAAGATGGTGATGGCTATGGGCAGGAAACAGTTTCTTTATCAGTATTATAACTAACTTAAAGAAGCCTTCGACTGAACAAATGTTCAAATCAATATTGTTAAACTGGTGCACGGTCGGTACTGGAACATTTTAGAATGACGTCTGACACATAGAACAGACTGATTTAAAAAACACTTCAGTTTTGAAAATATAGCATGTGCCTAAATATTTTACACACAGGTTTTTAATACCTTCTTTTCTGTAACTATTGTTACAACTGGAACCATAGTTCTGGAACTATGGTTCTTGGAGGCAGCAATGCAGTTCTGCACCAAATCTTTTCCAGCCTGTTGCCATGCAGGTTTGAAGGAGTAGGAGGGGTGGTAAGAAGGCCCGCTTCACCCTCTATGTGTCATTTAGATTTCTGTGATTGGAGGTGGCAAGGAGAGGAGGCCACAAAAGCCAATGAATGAGTCAGGCGGTGAGAAAGAAGAAGTCTGCTCTGGGCACTGACATTGGCGACGCCTGCCAACTCGTGTCTTCTCTGCTGGATGGCAGGTTCAGAGGTCATTCTGGAGGTGAAGCTCTCCTTGGCTGACAAACAAGCTGCCATAAACATGTTTATATCTTGAGGAATGCCTCTTGTAAATATGTGTTCATCCTGGGCAGTAGTAGTGTAGCAAGTTAAAAGACAAACCTGCATTCAGTCTTTATGAAGTTGAAGCTGAATACTAAACTCTACATTAACATTTTGTCACAGTGGAGGGAGGGCCAGTTGTCACTGCACGGCCTTTGATCAGTTATATTCTCTCTTGCATGTGTAAACAATTCAGCAAGTGTTCTCATGAGACATGAAGGGAGAGAAGTACTATGCAGGCAACTGGAGGTTAACCTCTACCACATCCAGCTGCAGGGGGGGCACACATCCTGTAAACATGCCATTTAGACTGGAGGAGAGTCAGAGTGAGGTTTGGCAGCCACACTGCTGCAGCCGGCTGTGAAGCGCAATGCCATCGCAGACGCCTCAAAGTGACAGCGCTGTAATGAAGTCTGAGGCCCACGGCAGGCTGTACGTCATAATTTCAGGTTCCTTAAAGCCTGACAGGGAATGATTATCATGGATGGTTATTGTCACCCTGCCTCCCTGGTAGACGATGCGTGCTCTGGGGTTGT